AGCAGAAATGCCATAATCACATTTAAGTTATTAGAGATGTTTATAAGCAAACAGAAATGGTTTTAAGAGGAACACGTACAACGTAGCTGTGTGTTTTCGTTGCCTGGTGCAGGTAGAAGATTTTCCTACTCATCCCCAGTGTCTGTAGCCAAAGCAGGGTCAGAGTCTGCCACAAAAAATTTTTTGATCCATTCAGCTTAGCCTGGTGACACTGACACACTGGGTCAAGTGCACTGCAGCTCACTGTAATTGCAGATATTAATGAAGCTTTGAAAGGGAATCAAAAATTACTCTAAATGCCCATGCTGGTTAGAAGCTCATTTTGTTCTCTTACAAACATGCCAGATCATCCGAAAAATAATTCAGCTAATTGGGACAAAATGCACAGATAACACTTGAGCTCTTTTACAGCTTATACCCATGCCAGTCTGCTGTCTCATTGGGTCATTATCTTGTTCTCCCCTTCACATTTGACAGGGAAGCCAGAATACTTTATCCACATTCTGATGCTGCCACACTTTGTATTACAAACTCAGTTAGCAGAAGCACACAACAGCTGGCAGTGCTGGGGAGGAGAACAACTACTCCACAAGCCTGGAATGACCAGGCTTGGAGACATGTCAGATTTGGATACCCTCCCCTCACAATCCTCCTGAGAGGGTGTAATTTGCTTGCCAGAGACAGCAGGGCATTAAAGCACAGGTGCCCTTCCCTCTCCCCAGGCACCATTCCACTCTGCTCCTGCTGGCATCTTTGCTCTGATCACTGGCCTCAGTAATCCATGGGTCCCAAACTTCTGCTCAAGATGCTCCATTTATGGATAAAAGAGGTAAAACCAACACAGACTATCCTGACAGCAGGTGTTGAGGGGCCTGGGATAAACCACATCTCTTTAATCTGCCAGCACATCTCTGTGGGCAGTCTACCTCACCACTGGAGCAGCAGCCCAGCTCACTCAAGGAGGTCAGGTTGCACTTGAGCATCTTCTCCTACTCCAGCTCTGCTGGCCACTGGCCACACGAAGTTAAAATCATTCTTTGAGCATGAGGACTCCCAGCAGAGCCCAGAAAGTCAGTGTGAAAGTGTGTCTCTTTCTAAAGAAGCCATTCAGCAAATGCTCTTCAGGAAGTCCTTGAGGTATCATGGTGTCACACGTCAGTCCTCCACTGCCTCTTCCCGGCGCCAGCCCTTCTCTGCATGAGAAGCTGTGAATGGAGGTCTTCTTCTCTCTACTGTTAGTGAAACTTTGAAGCATCCAACCGATACTAGTCCATCAGCCTTACAGTTATTTAAAGAGAGCCTGTCAATTTTTTTATTAATAGCAGCAATTACATTATAGCAGTTAAAAGACAAGTGAGATTGGGAATGTACTGCAGCCATGGTTAGATACCTGTTTGGGCCTAGTCTTGCTAGAAGACGCTTTCAAGTGTGATTATATGGGCAAACCCTTCTAGCTGAGACCCGAGATATATCTTCCCACAGTACATGGCATACATATGAGCTCACTCTGCCAGCTGAATGGCTGCAGAGCCAAACTCTAGCTAATACACCCATTCTCTCAGCAATATCTATTGCCTCAGGTTTAGCAAGGCACTCCTCTGTCCATGTCTTTTCTGATCATTTCAAAGCTTGACATTCACTTTCGGCAGGCAATACCACTCCCTCATTTCCGTGGGAAAAGCACAACTTCCCTAAAATGAAGTAGATAACCAGCAGACCGCTGCACTATTTTTTGCCCATATAGCTGCATCTAAACTAGGGCTTTATTTATATCAGCATGAAAGCATTGTTAAAAGAGCTCATCTAACCAACATTATTTTACTGTCAGCAACTCCAAACGTAGGTCTGAACCACTGGGAAGAGAACTGTCTTCCTAAAATAGGCACTAAAGAGTTCATGCTTTTGTGAGGAAGGGAAACTGAGGCAGAAAGAAACTGGAAGACTCCCTCAAGGTCATGCAATACATTTATGCAAAACATGACCCCACCTGCATTTTAGTACATGGCACAGATGCCACAGAGGTAGCAATTTAATAAGGTATGAGCCCCATCTGTTCATTATTGTCTCAACTGGAAATTGCCATCCCCAAAGCTGAGCCACATTAATTGATTATGTGAATGCTCCTGGTTGCCCCAATGCAAAGGCAGTCAATTTAATTTAAATCCTTGTTGGAGGAGACTTCGATTTGCTGGCTGACTTTATGATGAAGCAGGCAAGGAGCACTCACATAAGTTTCATAACCCAATCCCGCTATGTCTGACAGAATGCATCTGTCCACCCCCTACCTCTCTGGCAATTTTTAAAACAAATAAAACATAAAATGAGCAAAAAGGAGAATTTTCTTGGGGCATTACCCAGGGCTTTGAGCTTAACAGAATTTCAGCTAGCAGAATTTCCCAAATCTAATAGCATTTCTTCAGCCTGAAGTTTTCCCTGTTCTGAAGTTTCTCTAGTTTGCTTTCCAGCATCATGTATTTTCACTTTGTCTCCGTATTTTAATCTGGGTAAAGAAATCAGAACACAGTTCATATTTTTATTACAGCTACCAGCACTAGGCAGCACTAGGTCACATAAGCTACAAAGAGGGGGAAAGCTCTCAAAAACTCTCCCTAAATGTTGCATGCACTCTTTCTGACATTTTAAGTCATCAAAACTTCACCAGTGATATGAGGAGCCACTAAATTTTTATCTTACCCTTTTCTTCCATTTTCATTAGTGGCTGGATTTGGATTACATTATGCCTGACAAAGGCAAGCTGCCTCCACAAGTAACCACATTATCATCAGAGGCAGCCACAAGTAAAAGCACTGTGTATGTAAAGGGGTCACAACATGTACTGGTTTGGTTTTCTTCTTTATAAACTGCACAAGAAACCAATTCACCTGCACCCTTCTAGTGTTAAAAGTAATAACTTGCAAGTCCTCCCTTGTGAGCTTTGCTCCCAGTGAAAAACGTAACATCCATTGAGCAATCCACCTACCCTCCAAAAAGTTTCCCTCCTCTGTCCACAAAAACAAGGTATTTTTTGTACGTTTGCCTTGGTCACCAAAGAGCGAGCAATTTTTTTTTGTTAAAAGCCAGCATTAATTTTTAGCTCTTTGCCCTAGGAGCTTCACTCCTGCTTTGTTTGCATTGCAGATGTTTTCATTTTATTCTTGGGAAGAGTGAGATAAAGAAAGATAATACAAATCCCATCTCACAAACAAAAGGGCAAGAGCATAGAAGATTAAGGTGTTTTCCCGAACTGCAGTGACATTACCAAGAAGTGCAACGCTAAATAAAGTAAGGACATGTTTGGAGGCAGCAGAACAAGGTGGTTTGAAGGTACCCAAATTACTGCAAATAGCCCATTGCTCTTTCTCTTCCACCTTCTACCCTGTCACCTGACCATAATGGCACTTTTGCTGTTCATCACTCTTTCTCCCCATCAATTTTCATTGCCCTTCACAGCTTCTTTATCACTTTTGCTGCTGAACCTACAACTACCTTTAGTTCAGATGTTTGCCATAAATCCTGGCAACCAACATCTAACCCATGAAGAATATAAATAAATTGGCTAGTTTTAAGAGGCACTAGGTGATAATGTATTTTTTCATATTCACAGATATAGCTAAAACCTCATCTCTGTTGGAAAACTAACAATGTACTAACATCCTTATTCTGACTTTTGTCTGTCCCCTCTGTGCTATTTTAAGAAGCAGGCACGTTCTGGTGCAGTAAATAAGGACCGCACCACCACGTGACTTAAAAACAGTCACCAGCAAAGACAGATTTCCAGCCATTCCCTCTTTGGGAACCTGCAGGCTGGTTTACTACAAACTGCAATTAAAAAAAAAGGAAAAGTTTTGATTTTAACTCCTACCTTTCCTAAAAGGCACTGAATGCTGCCGGGTTTAATGCATGTGAACGGAACTATTACCATTTTCAAAGACTGTAAAAGATATTTAGCTTCCAGAAAAATAAATACCAAAACCATTCCTACCTTTTTCTTGCAATTTTGTAGTGGGTTTTTTTCACTTACGGTTTGGGGTTTTGAGGTTTTTTTTCCATTTTTACACTAATGTAACAGCATTGACTTTAGTGGGTTGTGAGGTTTACTTCAATACAAATAATAGAGAAAAATCAACCTCTTTCTGCAGATATATCTATCTCTCAAGCCAAAATGTGCGACCGGGGGCAGTCTCCAACAGAGAACCCCCTATGAGCCATGTACCCTTTCACCATGCAGCTGCAGCACAGCTAAACTGATGGCTCATTCCCAGCCCTGCTTCACCTACCCAGACTGAAAAAAATAAAACCTAAAGTCCACACCGTGTGTAAAACAATACTGGTGATGGGTAAGTGTGGCCGTGAGAGTGACAGCCGTGTCCCACACACCTTTCATAGCCCCTGTGCAGCAAGTAGCCTGGCACTGCTGCAAACCCACAGGTCTTTACACCCAGTGAGCACCCCCACCTTGCTTCCAGTCACCTCCACCAGGCAACTATTCAGAGAGGTGATGCCTGACCACCTCCAATCATGATGACCTGTAAGTATAAACCAAAACTGCCACTGTTATCACAGTGATGTACATGGGGTCCCCCCACACCTATTTCCCCTTCTACCTGAAAGCATTATTTCCCTTCATTGCAACTACACAGGCACACCTATGATAAGGGGTCTGGGGAAAAAAGGACAATATATCAATTCAGGAAAACCAAAAAAAGAGAGTGAAAAAGGGAATGGAAATATTCAGGCACTAGTAGGATGTGATGCACAACTGGAAAACACTTGTTATAGGGAAACAGTGCTTAGTATTTGCAATTTGAATTCACATCTGAGAGTTCAAAATGGAAATGCAGATCAGATTCTCACAGGCACTATCTCTTGCCACCCTTTCCTCTTACTCCCCAACAGAGCTGCTAAAGACTAGCAGCCTCCATCATGCCATCATACTTGCCCTGAGACCAGGGTGCTGCAGAGCCATGCCCCGCCCACCATGGATGAGTTCCTTGGGTTCCCAGGGGACCCCACCGCAGTCCTGCAAACTCAATGGGGACAAAGGCCTGTGTGGAAGGTGACTGGGGTGATCAGTGGCATACAACAGCCATTTCAGGAACTAGGCTGCTTGTTTAGGACAATCAAGGTCACCTTCCACCACGCTCTCCATCTTGCTTAGGCAAACTTTGCTTCGTGTTACATTTTAGGCACCCCACAGCTTTTACGTTCCCAGCGTCACAGATTAGCAGCCACCATGTTGTCTACATGCAAAAGCCTCTGCTTTCTGCTTCATTATCAGGTGCCTGCCGCTACCACCACCTGATTTAAAGGCTGCCTGGTGCCTGCTGTATCTGTAATGCAGTCACCAGTGATGAATTGTGATGTCATGAGTGCTAGATCGCATCATCGCTAAAGGAATCAGTATGACAAAGGGAGAAGAATGCCTGTATTTACACACAAATGTCTTCATAATCAGCAGCACCAGCAAAGGAGATAGAATTAGGCAGGAAATTAGAATTACCATTATTTGGATGCTAACTGTAAAGAACGCGATGCTTTTAAACATGGAGTGCATGTGGTGTTTCCTGGAAAAGGATACTGTGTGCTGACACACTGGAGACATCCTGGGCAAGAAAAGGGAGAGCTGAAAAGAGGCTTGGGCTCTGCAGGGGAAAATACAGGTAGAGAGAACATTGCTTTATGCACGATGGCTTTCACTTTGAGGAGAGGCAAGGGAAATTTAAAGTACTCCAACAGATCAAGGTGATTGAATTTTGTTTGTTTATTCCAGAGAGGGCTGAAGCTCGAGGCTCAACAGACCAGGTGTACAAGAGTTTTCTCCCTCACCTGTGGCCTCACGGAAGGATCACCAGCCTGGGGAGCTGTGCCCAAACTTCATTTTCTGCTGCTTACCCATTCCCCTTCCACGTCTTGCCTTCACCCTATAGAGCAGGATGTCCATGAGATGGAGGTGATGACTTCATACTGTCAGGCACGTGCCCAATTTCATCTGCTTCTGTCATACAGGCACCACCAACAGGCATTCCCACAGGCGTTTTTTAAATCCACACCCAACTAGTGTCCATCAGTCACAGCTCTCTGCTTCCTCCTTCACGTCTTCCTTCACCTCTCACTGCGCGGTTGCTGCTGATCGCAGGATGTTTACTTTTGAAGGCAGCCTGGGGTGGACTGAATCCTTCTGGCTCTCTGGGAATACAAAATAATTATGCGGTTTTTACTTTTCCATACAGGAACCATTCAAAAGGCACAGTGCTCGTGACAGCTCCTGGAGAAATGATGCCCTAATGACAGGCTTCTTTTTAAAGCCTGGGCTCTTCCTGATGCCCATCTGTGGTCCTCAGCATTATTAGGATATGTTTACAGCCATTTTAGTGATGGCAGGCTTTGGGCTTTCGGTCTGCAGAAGAAACACAACTTTGCACTGAGAACTATCCTCTGTTCAGGCTGTGCAATTTGGTAACAAAAAAAATAAAGGAAATAAATAAACATCAGTTGGAGGAAAATTTCCCAGGAGTGTGGAGGTGCTTCCAAACAGCAACTTCATGATCACTAGCTTCAGGGTTATCACAGCACTAGCCAGAGGCAATAACTTTCAGACCACCTAGCGTTAGAATCTAGGCTAAATATCTTGATGTAGCTGCGCTAACGGTTATCTTTATGCATTTCTCTCTGTAGCCAGTGGCATGGAGAACTTGGGGACTGTGCCTTCATTTTCCTATTCTTCTATGAGTTCCCTGTGCTACTTGAGAAGCGCAGTTTATTTGCATGTAGCTCATTTACTTTTACCTTGTCTGTGAAGACACTAGTGCAGCAGCAGCTGTGAAGCTGCTGGTTAAAAAGTGCTATAGAAGGAACAAGCTATCATCACAGATTCACAAACACTTTAGGAATCCTGATCTGTTTCCCTGTCTAATTTTTCTTTTTGATACATACAACTGATTTCTGAACTGTCCAACCGGAAACAGCCTAAGGTGAGCTGGTTTTCAGAAAGAGGTGCTTCTCATTCCTCCCTCTGCTGAAATCAAAAGTGTTGCACTTGATCAGTCACAAACACTCAGCTCTATGGAAGGATAGCAGCATGCTCCCATAGCCACAGCTCCAGGTTCCTTTGAAAACTTAACTCTTTTTCTAGTGATCTGAGCAATCCCCTTTAACCACGTCCCCACTCTTTGCTGTTTCCAGTCCCAGGAGCTCTGCAGGAAGGGACAACTCATGCGAACTGCAGAGCAACCATCTTTCCCTCCTGCATCCCGCCGGCGCTCAACGCAGGCTGTCCGCACTGACTGTGCTTTGCGAGGGTGGGAAAAACACCCCGATGTGGAAAAGAGCAGCCGCTTCGCTGAGGTCCGCAGGAGCAGGTCCTCCCTTCTTGCTGCCAGCCCCACTTCCCTCCCCGCGTATTTCCAGGTCAAAGACACAGCGAAGAGCCAGGCTCGGGGGCTGCCAAACCGTGCACTAGAGGAAGCTCTGGCTCAGCCTCTTCACTATTCGCACTGTTCGTGCTGCCTCGCCTCCGCTTTAACCCGCCCAGGCGCTGCTGGCCGGGACAGCCCGCAGCCTCCACCGCAGAGGCGGTCAGGAGCCGCACGGGTGGGCCGGCAGCACTGGCCGTCCTGGCACTTAAATGGAGGGAAGCGAGAAGAAAAGAGAGGAAAAGAAGCAGGAGCAGGGGGGAAATGCGAGTAGGAAGAAGCCGCAAAGAGCAAGGGAGAGGCAGGCGCGGGCTGCACTGGCACCCAGCGGTAGCGGCTGGGAGAGCTGCGGGAAGCGGCGGCGCCGGCTCCGGGCCGGGCACCGCGACGGGAGGGCAGTGGAGGAATCCAGGCCGAGGGCTGGGCTTCCCAAAGCCCCTGCTCCTAAGCTGAGGGAGCGGGAAGTTTCTAACAACCGACGTTTTGGGGCGGGGAGAAAGGAAATGGGAAAAAAAGGGGAAAAAAAAAAAAAGGAAAAAAATCCAAACCTCGACCTTTTCCCATGTTGTCCTCAGGCGTGCTTGTCCAAGCCACAAAAATGGGAAGTGCCTGGGGGAAGGTCACATGCATTTCACTCTTTGTATGGCACCAGACCGTGTCACTTTCCACGGGAGCTGAAGGACAAATGAAGCCTTACTGGTGAGAACTGAAGGAAATGTTTCCAGATTCATCTACCTGTGTTTCAAAAGGCTGAGAGTAAATCTGTCTGTTCCTGCAAGATAAAAAAACATTTCACATTTCATTTCAAAGAGACAAAGTTAAATAGTACTGCACAACAAGGGCAATGTTTCAATAGGAGCCCCAGCAATAGATGTTCTATGCTGAGTAGTCTTATGTAGCAATGACAGTATAGTCAATTGGTGGATAAGTTAAAATCTTTTAGGACTCACTCGAAACCACTCTATATAGCAGCGTAAGCATGTCCATTTTCCAGATAGGCTGCATCCATCAGTAATACAAAGTGAAGGGACAGGGAAAGGCTTCTGAAATCATGAAAGATACTTTGAATGTATCAAGCTTTTCTTTGCTTTTCTACTGTGCTTAATCTTTCCCACCTAATCCTGTACAGCCATTTGCCTTACAGAAATATTTTGTGATATGGGGAAATTCCGTAGAAGGAAACGGGAGTATGGGAATTAGATTATACCCATAGCCCAGATCCGTCTGGCACTGGCTGTTTTATGAGACCAGAAGAGATCATACAATTTCCTCACCTTCCTGCTATGATTTTTACAGCTTATCTTTAAAGTCTCCTTTTTCCCACTTGAAAACCACCCAGGACTGGAAATGTGAGGGCTATACTAACACAGACTGTATATTCTGGCTAAAACCAGAAGTCATTCGTTCTAGCAGTACCCTGATATATCTGGCATGCTTATAAATTTGGGAATTAGGCAATACAAGTTCTGAACCTCATTTTTTTTCCACACCAAATTAAACACCTGAGTTTTACCTGCCACTGCCCAGTGCTGCAGTTGGCTACGTAATAGCCTCTTCCTAATGAGCTGAAGCTCCACACATCTTGTCATTTGTATGGTTTTGTGCTATGGATACAAGGATTAGCAAGGATTTAGGATTTAGATCACATTTGAAAGATAAATAACTTACCACTTTGTGTATTCCACCAGCAGGAAAGTTAAGCAAAGTGCCAGGCACCATAGTGCCCTGCAAACTCCCGTCACCAGAGAAAGGTCTGGAGAAAAGTGGGTTTGACCCCAAAATCATGAATCCCAGACTTTAGGAGGCTACACTGAGAACAGCCTTACCCTTGCATGCCGAGGGAGGGACCTCTGAGAAGTAAAGATGTCCCTGGAGGCGCAGGGAACTTCCCATGTCCCATGGGAGCAAAACCTCCCACACTCCCTCCCCACAGATGTCACGGCAGGAACAAGAAAAACTCCCTTTTGTGCTTCTGTCAACCTCATCAAGCTCGAAAGTCAGCTGCTGCACCCCCACAAAACCTCTAGCTGAGACAGTAATACAAGGAGAGAGCCGATTTCTCAAGCAGGCAGAAATTTCAGCCACTGCCGTTCTCCCCCACATCTGAACTCCTTTCTCCCATTTATTTTTTCATTCCTCTCCCAAGCGCCGTGACAAGTTAGCTCTTTGTGTTTAGTGCTTCAATTACTCCCTCACAGCACTTGAACTGCTGAGCCCTCCCAACAAAAAGAGGGTAATGCATAACGTTCATCATCTGCTGTGGTGCGTCTGTTTCCCCCCTCCCAGGTTTGCAACATGAGTGGAGAGGCACAAGCACTGACAGCTGAACAGATCCCACACCACCAAGGAGGAGAGGCTCAGCAGCATACCCTGCTCAAACACTGCAGTCTGCTTTTCCATGTTTGGGGGTCTTTGTCCCAGCAAGTGGCCAGGGAGGGCCCAGCCCCACTTGAGAAGCAAGATTGCAAAGGAGCCCTGAGGTACAGGGATGCCCAGCACAGCAAAAGGGGATGCTCCCTTCCTTGGTCCTTCCCAGAAGTATTACTCTTCATACCACCCACATTAATAGCCACTTCCAGATGCAGTGACCAAGGCACAGAAGGGGAAGGATCAGACATCTCCAATCTGAGCAGCCTTTAGCAACATTAGCAGCTGAAATCAACACCACTTAGCTTCTGTCTGTCAAGGCTTGAACTGGACTGTTTCATATTAAAAAATCAAGAAACACCAACAGATATGCATAACATTACATATAATATTATGTATATGATGTTAATCATTCTTAAAAGCCTATTTCTCCACCAGAATGCCCTGTTATTATTGACTCCTCCTTGGTCAGCCTGACTCCAGCACCAGGAATCACATTTATCTGCAGCCCAAGAGGCATCACTCACTTTGCCATAAATACCCTCACAACTGAGTCTTACAATGGCTGAAATTGTTGCTCAATTAATTGCCATCTAGTTCCTGCCAAATTGCCTTCAGTAGTTCTTCCTTTGTCATGGAAGGAAAGAATATGGCCTTTTAAAGTGCTCTGAGGTCACATTAGCCTTGCACACGCTCCATTACCCGTGACCTTGTCTGGAAGTGTGTATCAGATGTTTGCCTTTGGCAGCTGTACTCCTCTACCCATGCTTAGAGGCACCAGGCTTGACACTAAAGGGGGTCCCTGTTAGGAGATGCGGGGAAACCAGGAGAAAAGGGTCAGAGACCCTAGAAGAGCTGTCCTTGGGCTCCCAGCAGGGATTTGCCTTGAGGGACCAATGCAGCTGAAGGGGGAAGAGGCCAATGCTTGAAGAACAAAAGGAAGCTGCCAGAGGGCTGAGGAGAAGCAAAGGTATCCATTTGAGGGGAAGAAGCATGCCAGGTGTGGAGGTGCACTTAGGTCCCTGCCTCTTCCCCTGAGGAGTGGAACCAAGGGGAAAAAAGGTGGTTTACTTCACATGCTACCATGGTCACATGGAGGTTGCTCTGTTGTGAGAGTTTTGGGAGGATCAGCAGGAGAAGACACAGTGTGTTTTCCATGGAAACACATGGAAGATTTCCTTCCTATCCCTTTATAAGCAAGTGTTGAAAAAGCACACAGAAACCAATCCAGTTGCTTGCTGATTCAAGCGCAGGGGAAGGTGACTACCCTTTCCACCTGGGGAGCAAGTGCTCACTTCTTGCCAAGAGAATGAAGGAGAGAAACAACTCCACATACCCTAGAAACCAAAAAGTGTGTCTTCATCTTCTCCAAGCACAAAACAGCGTGACCTGGGGTTACTCTGCAGCTTACCCGGGAATGCCCAGTGGAATCAAACCCTCTGGAGACAAGCAAGAAATTCATGAAGTATGCAAAGAATATGGGGAACCTTTGTTGAAAACTACCCCAAAAATTGTGGCTGCCATCATGGGTTATGGAAGATTTTGAGCAGGAAGGTGCTCTGTTATACTTTACTGTGGGAGCTTTCCACCATTAACTTGCTCTGCTGGAAAAGAGCGAGCAGAACACCGCAAAACAGTCTGTGAAGGCATGAATGCTGTTAATTGTTTTAAAACTTTTCTCATGGACCATTTCAGTCAAGTTTGGAATGGCTTTCAACTTGGAAGTGAAATTTCCCGTTCAAAAATTAAAAAACTGAACACTGAAAAGTAATCTTTTGATATTTTTACAATCCAATGTAACAAATGAGCCATTACTCACATTGCAAATTTGCTGAAAAATATTTTTCAAAAATATTTTTCAAATATTGACACTCAAAAAATATTGACACTTTAAAAAACTTTCATAAGGTGCTGGGGGTTTTGTTCGTTTCTTTTTACCTAGCTCACCAAGACCTACATGGTTTGTGATTTATGGCTTTTTTGGATGCAGTCCGCCACAGATTCCAGTAATGATTTTTGATTAATTGCATAACTCCTACACTCCTGGTTGTAAAAAATGGCACAAATACAAATGAAATGTCACCTAATACATTGCATTCTGCTTGCATTCGGGGGGGGGGGGGGGGGGGGAAGAAAATCAGAGGCCTATGTTGCAAACTCCACCTTCCTCTAAGTGAGTTCTTGATAGGTTTGAGAATCTACAAAGGATATGTTCTCGTTTCTTCAAAGAGCTCCTCCACTATTCATCATTTAGCAGGAGTATCTGAATTCTGTGAATTCAGGGTTCTCACACCCTCCCAGAAAGCAACTTCTGCTCCTTTTCAGATACAAACTGCTCTCTATTGTTTCAATTTCAGATACACAAATTTCCCTCTTACTGTACTGCCTACAGTATTTTCCACATCTGATATGTATGGGAAAAAAAATGATAGACTGAAAAATGGCGTGAAGGTGGCACAGAATAAATTTAATTCAGTATAAAAACATAAAATGCAAAGAGGTTCTAATTTAATTATTGTAACTGAGTAAAATTCTCTATTTTTGTTAATGTAAGTGCTGCTTTATATAGTGTGTTATTTTAGTGCTATTTCTAGTGTGGCCCACCGGCACAAACATAGGGATCACCATACTGATTTATCTAAATATAGTACCTTGTAGGTGACAGTGACAGGTACCAGGTGCCTATTATTAAACTGCAAATGATGAAACACTGAATCTGTCTGGAAACCTGAGCAGGCTCCTGCTGCCATGGGGTTTCAATGGAGCCAGATTGCCTTGGTAGTAGTTCAAGGTGTAGTAGTCCAAGGTGTACTCCTCCTGACCCCTCGAGATCTTAACCTTCAAAATGGAAAGGGGGAATCAGGGCAACAAGGCGGAGGATCCATGGTGCTGTCTGCTTCAGTGTTCTGAATATGTGAATATTCCTGTTCTATATGTGAATATTCCTATATTCCAGCCTATGTGAATAGCTCCAAGAGTGGCAAGAAATCGACTTTACTACCCTGAAACAGTGGTTCTCATGGCTATTTACTACAACTCAGAAAGTCAGCACAGCATTCAATTATTTCCCTGCTCCTTCAGAAAGTTAAAGAGGTTGTCTTAACCTTCTGTCTTAGAAGGTGAGAAACACATAAAGACAAAACATTACCGGGATTTTCACAATCTGCTGGGAGCAAAGCATCTCTATATGGCCCCATTCACAGTAGCATTATCTGTCTTTCCCTCCCAGCTCACCCACTGACTTAAAGCAATTTCAGTTGTAATGAATGCTTAAATCCAAATATCATCCAAGACTCTGCATACAAATATTTGTTTTATGCCTTTTGTGCAAGGTGGCATCCTTTTCAGCCTCACTGGAAAGAAGCCCAGCCAGAACCTTAATGGGTATCAGCAGAGTCTGCATTA